GCCACTTCTCATATCAGATACTCTAGACATCTCAGGTCTGAGAATCCAAGAACGAACCACTGTATGAGATTCAAGTCATGACTCTGTCCATGTGACAATCTCATGCGGGTCAACCAGTCACTCGTTCACAACGAGTACCCATGATTGTGATATGCATCCAATGCATCGATCACACCTCATGCTAGACTTAATTCATCATTGTTCCCACAATGATAACTGACCAGGGTGTTTAGAATCATTCTCTAATGATTCAAGGATACCGAAATATAACAAACATACCAATCATATAACGGAAAGAGTAATGCATTCATGAACCAATGAATCAATACTAAGTCAAAGTGTCATATCACGGATCATCCTAGAGCATCACAACCAACATTATCAACTTCATAACTACCACAAAATATAACATTAGAAAGGTCTTTTTCATAACTATGCATAGATGCCAAGATCATGTATATCTAATATACGAGCAGAAAGTTATGTGCATATTTAGACAACAGTCTCATCGAGTGCTTACATATCGGCAAAAATCTTCACCCAACTCTCGATTGGTAATTTGACGATGTGAAAATAAAAAAATTATTCGTCATTCGATAGGTGAGCCAAGATCCAACTGTTGACTCGAATCGCTAGATATCACCTTATGGTCCGTAATTTGAGCCAAATAATCAGCCAACGCTCGATAGGTAGGTCTATTGTTGGCTGGGGATATTATCAACTTCATAACTTCCACAAAATATTCCCAAATAATTATTTCTTTATAACATTAGAAAGCTCTTTTTCATAGCTATGCATAGATGCCAAGATCATGCAGATCTAATATACGAGCAGAAAGTCATGTGCATATTTAGACAACAGTCTCATTGAGTGCCTACATATCGACAAAAATCGTCACCCAACTCTCGATTGGTAATCCGATGATCTGAAATCAACCAAAAATTTTAGTCATCATTCGATAGATGATCAATGATTCAGCTGTCGACTCAAATCGCCAGCCATTGGCTCATGGTCCGGAATACGAGCCACATAATCAGCCATCGCTCGATCGGGAGGTCGATTGTTGGCTAGTGATATTATAAACTTCATAACTTCCAAAAAATATGCTCAAAATAATTCTTTCTTTATAACATTAGAAAGCTCTTTTTCATAGCTATGTATAGATGTCAAGATCATGCAGATCTAATATACGAGCAGAAAGTCATGTGCATATTTAGACAACAGTCTCATTGAGTGCCTACATATCGACAAAAATCATCAGTCAACTCTCGATTGGTAATCCGATGATTTGAAAATCAACCAAAATTTTTAGTCATCATTCGATAGATGATCAATGATTCAGCTGTCGACTCAAATCGCCAGCCATTGGCTCATGGTCCGGAATACGAGCCACATAATCAGCCATCGCTCGATCGGGAGGTCGATTGTTGGCTAGTGATATTATAAACTTCATAACTTCCAAAAAATATGCTCAAAATAATTCTTTCTTTATAACATTAAAAAGCTCTTTTTTGATAACTATGCACAGACGCTAAGGTCAAGTAGATCTAATATATGAAGAGAAAGTTATGTGCATATTTAGACAACAGTCTCATCGAGTGCTTACATATCGACAAAAATCATCAGCCAACTCTCGATTGGTAATCCGATGATCTGAAAATCAACCAAAATTTTTAATCATCATTCGATAGATGATCCATGATTCAATTGTCGACTCGAAATGCTAGCCATCGCCTGATGGTCTATAATTTGAGCCAAATAATCAACCATCGCTCGATAGGTAGGTCGATTGTTGGCTTGTGATATTATCAACTTCATAACTTCCACAAAACATTCCCAAAAAATTATTTCTTTATAACATTAGTAAGCTCTTTTTCATAGCTATGTATAGATGTCAAGATCATGCAGATCTAATATACGAGCAGAAAGTCATGTGCATATTTAGACAACAGTCTCATTGAGTGCCTACATATCGACAAAAATTGTCACCCAACTCTCGATTGGTAATCCGATGATATGAAATCAACCAAATTTTTTAGTCATCATTCGATAGATGATCAATGATTCAGCTATTGACTCAAATCGCCAGCCATCGTCTCATGGTCCGGAATTCGAGCCACATAATCAGCTATCGCTCGATGGGTAGGTCGATTGTTGGCTGGTGATATTATCAACTTCATAACTTCCAAAAATATGCCCAAAATAATTTTTTCTTTATAATATTAGAAATAATTTTTGAATAGCTATGCATTGATGCCAAGATCATGCAGATCTAATATACGAGCATAAATTTATGTGCATATTTCGACAACAGTCTCATCGAGTGCCTACATATCAATATGATATAAAAATATAAAAAAAATTATTCGTCATTCGATAGGTGACCCAAGATCCAACTATTGACTCGAATCGCTAGCCATCGCCTAATGGTCCGTAATTTCAGCCAAATAATCAGCCTTCGCTCGATAGGTAGGTCGATTGTTGGTTGTTTATATATATACTTCATAACTTCTACAAAACAATCCCAAATAGTCGACAGCTGAATCATTGATCATCATCATTCGATAGATGATCAATGATTCAGCTGTCGACTCAAATCATCAGCCATCGGCTCATGGTCCGGAATTCGAGCCACATAATCAGCCATCACTCGATGGGGAGATCGATTGTTGGCTGGTGATATTATAAACTTCATAACATCCAAAAAATATGCTCAAAATAATTCTTTCTTTATAACATTAGAAAACTCTTTTTCATAGCTATGCACAGATGCTAAGATCAAGTAGATCTAATATACGAATAGAAAGTTGTGCATATTTAGACAACAGTCTCATCGAGTGCCTACATATCGATACAAATCTTCAGCCAACTCTCGATTGGTAATCCGATGATCTTAAAATCAACCAAAATTTTTAGTCGTCATTTGATAGATGATCTATGACTCAGCTGTCGACTCAAATCGCCAGCCATCGGCTCATGGTCCGGAATTCGAGCCACATAATATGCCCTAAATAATTTTTTCTTTATAACATTAGAAATATTTTTTCATAGTTATGCATAAACGCCAAGATCAAACAGGTCATATATACGAGCAGAAAGTTATGTGTATAGAATTCTAAAGAATTCTAAGGGAGGGGAACAACAGCTGGAAACGGACAACAGTCTCATCAAGTGCCTACATATTGGTGAGAGGAGCGGCTAGACTACTGAAGTTCCGAACAAATCGGCGATAAATGCTTGCTAAACCGAGAAAACTCCTCACGTGTCCCACTGTGGTAGGAGTCGGGCATTCCTTAATGGCTTTAACCTTTTCCTCGTCAACTCGCAAACCTTTAGAGCTGACAACGAAGCCTAGAAATACCAACTCGTCGGTGCAAAACGAACACTTCTTCGGGTTCACTGAAGGCTTTCTTTCCTCAAAGTGGTCAAGACTTGCTCTAGGTGCGAAAAATGGTCCTCGGTGGTCCGACTATACACAAGAATATCGTCAAAATAAACCACGACAAACTTCCCTATGAAGGTTCTCAAAACCTGGTTCATGAGGCGCATGAATGTACTCGGGGCATTGGTCAACCCGAAAGGCATAACCAACCACTCGTAAAGACCATGTTTGGTTCTGAAGGCGGTTTTCCACTCGTCACCTTCTTTCATTCTCACTTGTTGGTAGCCACTAAGGTTGATCTTTGAAAAGATCGTGGCTCCGCTCAACTCATCAAGCATGTCATCGAGTCTAGGGATTGGGTGCCGATATTTAACGATAATGTTGTTGACCGCTCGACAATCGACACACATACGCCAAGTTCCATCTTTCTTTGGCACTAAGAGTACTGGAACTATGCATGGACTAAGACTCTCTCGAATGTAACCCTTACTCATAAGCTCTTGAACTTGTTTTTCGAGCTCTTTGGTCTCCTGTGGGTCCATTCGGTAAGCTGGTCGGTTAGGTAAAAGGGACACCGGGTACTAGGTCTATTTGGTGCTTGATACGCGTGTACCGAGTCTTAATTTAAACCCGTTATCATATCTCACCGCAAGAATACGGATCGCCGTAGTATGGGATCGAACATGAGGACTAGTTGTACCTTTAGGTCAAATCAATTCAAGGCAAAGAAGAATATGATGGATAGTGTATGGTGATGGTAATGAATCATAGTAACCAAAGCAAGTAAGCAAGTAACGTGTGTAAAAATCTAATAACAAAGCCTGCGGGAATCGGGTTTTTTTGTCTCGTATTCTGGGTATATACTAAGCATGCGAATTCTACATTCATGGATTGATTTAGAGATTTCCAGCAACTAGTGTATAAAGAATTTACCTCTCAGCCTTAGACTCTACTACTGAGTTTTCGATGACCTATATCTCTATAACTCCCACCAAAAACTAAGTGCATGAAGAACGCAATCATGAACCCTAATCCATCTAACCTATCTCTCGGTAGCGAAATTCGAATCATCCATTCAATTCCACAACCTAGTTATCAAACCGTATATCTACGCCATTCAATTCTAGGGTATTGATTATGGGGCTAGCATTCAATCAACCAAGGAATGAAGAATATGGAATGAATAGACAAAATCCAAATCCACTCATGAAAAATCCGTTAAAGAACAGACATACCCAGAACACTGAACAAAACCCTAATCCCACAGATGGAATCTACTCAACCGTCATAATGGTGAATGGGGAAACAATAAACAAGGGAAAAGAGAAGAATAGAGAATGGCTCATGAATTCGATGCTCTCCGATCTTCTTTTTCTTCGCTTAGGATCTCCCCTCTTGTGTCTAGTGCAGTTCCTCCCTCCAAAAATCCTCCCCCTGGGCTCCTCTCTTTGATTTCTCTTTATTTCCCGAAATTAGGTCAAAGTCCGGATAAGTAACTCGGACCGCGCCAGTATTAGCACGGACCGCACCAAGATTTTGAGCAAACTTCAATTCTCCAGGATTGTGGGACGGACCGTGTCACTTCTGGCACGGGCCGTGTCAGATCTCTTAGTTGTTTTTATCTGAAATCCGTCCTTTGATCCTATCTTCCTGTAGATCACGAAAAGAGACAAACAAAGCGGGTATAGGGTGCCTACAGTACCTAAACATGCAAGATATATATGCGTATAACACCTCTAGACACCCAAAATGTAGTATAAAATAAGAGTTATCAAATCCCCCCAAACCTAAACTTTTGCGCGTCCACGAGTAAAGGAGATTAACAAAAAGCCTCGGTTGGGTGACGTGGGTGAGCAGTTAGTGAAATCAGAATGAGGGTCAAGTATGGACTATGCAGAAGGTTTAGAGAATGACGCAAATGAAATCGAGCCTAGCTACTTAAGTGATCCCGAACATTGTTAGCTACGTCGGCATGTGACTTCCGTTGGAACCTAGGCTCGTACCGAGACTCATCCTATTCCACCCCTCGGATCACACTATCCTTAACTCATGGATGGCTATGTCCCACTACGCGAATCAACTTAGCTTTCACACCAAGAAAAGAATCTCTCTCTCTCTCTTTTTTTTTTTTTTATCATTCCGGGTTTCTAGGACGTTGAACTTGGTGGTCGTCTATTTAGTATCGACAACCATCCCACAACTTAGACCCGAACTATCTATGCTCGATACACTCATGCCTTCGAACGATTTTCGTTGACGAGTGATGGTGGCAGCAAAGTGTCGGGATGTAGGTGTGTTTGTTCTGCCCTTTTTATTATATTTATTTTTTTTCTTTGGGATTCGCATTACCTAGAGTGTCGGTCGTGGTTCCAAGGATATGCGGTCATCGGATTCGGGCAAGCGTAAGTCTTTTCCTAACTCGGTGTCCGATATCGTCCCACTGCCTATTTAGTCAATTAGGCTAGGCATACTCAAACGGTTCAGCTCGACAATCCAGCTAAATATTAGAGTTAAAAAATAAGCTCTAAAGACGTATTTCCTTCTGCCTTCTACATAATGCAAATTGTGTACCGTTTATCGATCATCATTTTCCAGTATCTTGCTCAAAACGGTTATGCTCATGTTCCTGTGATGCGCCTAAGGGAGAGGTACCACGGTAGAGTCGTGCAAATGTTCTGAGTCCTAATCACAATGCAACTATATGCTGTGTAAATCCGAAACAAAATAATGCATGCGATGCAATCCCATAGTCCTGAACGTTTCACCGTCCGCAGTGAAAATCCAAGCACGGGATTATGAGATGAAGCAATGATAAAGGCGCATAGAGGGAAAAAAGGTAAGAAAGAGTGGCTTAGCTGCACGTAGTCATTCGCTCGCAATGAAGTTAACTAACGTGGAATGTGCCTATGGTCACTCGAGATCGGAGTCGCAGTGTTGTAATCGGTGAACTCTCGCATCCATGTGTTCGAATCAGATAAGAAAGGCTATAAACCAAGGTTATCCGAAAACAAACAAACGGTAGAAAATACACCAACCATAGACAGAGAATGACCGAGGTCTCCGTACATCAAGGTCCTACTACAACCATTACTACCAAAAAGAATGAAAAATATGAAAAAGAAAACAAATCTGTGGACATGTATGGTGGCTGTCTAGGTGTCAGGTGACTGGTCGAACACGTCCTCGGCTTCCGTCTCCTCCGAATCTGGAACCGAGTGCTGGAAATGGCTGCGATACTCGTCATGAAACTGTTGTTGCTGTATAGCCAATTGTTGGACCTGAGACATCAGGGTAGACATCTGATCACTGAATGATGTCTGCATGGTCGTCATCTGGCTCCGGATGTCCCTAAACTCGCCGTATACGAACTGCTGGAATACGTTCTGGCTCGGGAATGGGTATGGGTTGGTCGGCTTGGCAGAGCTGGATAGACCTGCCTCGTGTTCGCTCTTCGGTGGAGGAGGTGGAGCGTGCAAGACGTGGTCGGGGATGTCATAAGCGCCTTCCTCCAAGCCTAGTCGTTGAGCCATGGTGAGGGAGAGGCGAAGTCCAGCAATCGTCACTGGAGGTAGGTGGATGTTGGGCAATTTCATCATCGTGCCGTGCCGTTCTCATCGGAGTAGAGCCACATCCATCCATCGGCAACTCGTGACAGAGATTGTTTCAGGACTAACATTCTGGTGTCCAGCTCATTCCTACCACTAAGCATCTCTGCTTTGAATAGACCAATGTCAATCCCCACGCATCTCGCGATCATGGTGATCAGTCCGCTGAAGTAGATGTGCACGCTAGTCGACCTTGTATGGAGCACCTTGTTCATGTGTAGGGCAATATGGGATGGAATGACAGTGACCGCAGCTCTCCAGTCATCCCCATCGAAGAGATGAGATAGAGCCCATCGCAAGAGGACGAGCTCACTGATATTGAGCGTTCCCGATTCTTCCCGGCCGAAAAACGAGTTTGCCAGGATCATGTGGGTGAAACGCTTTGCGGGGTGGCGAATCCATGTCGACTTGAGATTCGAAGAAGAGTAGGGATTTGCTCCGATGAGGTTCCAGAAGCTTGCCAGTTCACTTTCACGCACGTTTGGTAGGTATGCGGAGTCACCCGGGTGTACCCCTAGGATATCGGCGAACTGAGTCATCGTGAGTCGATGTTCGCGCCCTCCCAGCTGAAATCCCAGGTATGAATGTTCGGCTAGACCATTGGACAAAATGTAGAGGCGGAATGTAGCAGCAAATTCTGCCGTAAGCAACTTATTCGTCGGCTCCGTTCTCATCATAAATCTCCACTGGACAAAATGTCAAAAAATCCAAGGTTGTCGATCATGTCTGTCGCGTATTTGGTGAGTCGAATTCCATGCGATACCCGCGAGTGCATACTGGTTCAGCATAAGCGGTACCCGGTGTGAGCTCGGTGTTGGCATTGGGTCCCGACTCGAATTTCGTGAATGTCGGGATCTTGTCCTTGATCCTCCCATCGTGTTCGCGTTTGCTTTTGTGAGTGACCATCTAAAAGCATGTGACAAACAAGATTAGTCGTCAAAAATCGGGGAATGCAAGGAAGTAACTCGGACTACGTCAGGAACTGGCGCGGTACGAGCCACTTATGTAAACCCGAGTTGCAATTGTCTGGAAACTGACACGGCTCCCCGCACATGTGACACGGTCCGCGTCATTTTTTAGAAATTGCGATGATGAACAGACTTGCACGAATCGCAAGGGCGAGTCGAAACCTGCAAAGTCTCAACCCGGAAAAGGCGTGCCAGGCCTAGGAGCAACTATTACCACATATCTAGGCTCATGAATCCCCCACAAATCAACCAAAGTTGAACAAGAAACCGCAGAAGCACTAAAACCCAAACTCTTGATGCTCACATGTGACACGGTCCGCGTCATTTTTTAGAAATTGCGATGATGAACAGACTTGCACGAATCGCAAGGGCGAGTCGAAACCTGCAAAGTCTCAACCCGGAAAAGGCGTGCCAGGCCTAGGAGCAACTATTACCACATATCTAGGCTCATGAATCCCCCACAAATCAACCAAAGTTGAACAAGAAACCGCAGAAGCACTAAAACCCAAACTCTTGATGCTCTAACCAAATTCATGGCTTAGAATCATGTAATGATGCACCAAAGGGTAAGATTAGGTATAGGGACACTTACTCAAACGAAATCGAGTCAAAAAAATTGAATATTTGAGGCAAAATGGCGGAGAGAGCGAATGTAGGTCAAACTTGCGGCGAGGAGTGAGCAAAACAAGTCCGAATCGCGACCTAAACAGGAATTGGCATGGACCATGTCACATGTGACACGGGCCGAGTCAGATTCCTGAGTCTTACCTGGATTTTGTGCAAATGTAGCGCGGTCCGAGTTATTACTAACACGGTCCGCGTTATTTCTCTGAGACAAAATTGGTGATGAATAGTGGCACGGACCGCGTCATAAGTGACACGGTCTGTGTCAAATCTCTGTTGAAACTCGCCAATTCTGTGCTAGAACCTGCAAAATGCAGCATAACCCGCAAAGTTCCCGAGGGGGCG